GAACCTCAAGACAAGTGAAACAGTTACGAAGGGGGTTGAAAGAGACACCGATCTGGCCTTTGCTGACTGAGGGGAAAGACACAATTCCCCTCCTCTTTACAAGAGCATCTGATGTACAGTGCACACCACAGGTAAGTGACCCCACGATGCTAAGTCAAAAACACTCACACAAATGACTTTCTCAGAAATGACATGTGTTTTCTACCTTGGTTTCACTTCATTACAATAAACATTAACCTGGTGAGATCTGAAACGTGTTGCATTGAAATGATCACAGTCAGCATTTGATCTCTACCGACATCACATCACTGCATGAGCAAGTACTGCTCAAACATGGTTGTCCTGAAGTCCTTGCAAGTTGAGTTTCATAGAAATGAACTGACACTAATTGCTGCCTAAAAGGAAGGAAACCAATTAAAAAAAACGTGTTACCATGCAAAAACCTCCAGTATGATTCTTTAAAATAACAACTATGCCCTGATCGAATTACAATTTGGATTATTAAAATTGAAAATGTCTCATTTTCTATTCTGCTGTTTATTGTGCTTTCTATTCTCTTGTTTGTTTGGAAACACAAGTTGACTGAACTGCCACTTTAAATTAATTTTTGCAAAGCTCTTCGTCAGACTTCACACTAGAAATAGAAGGTTAGTCTAGGGTTAGCACTGTTGGAATATCAGCTGAATTAATCACAGTTTAAACCTCTTCAATCCATATTTACAGTTCAATAATCAAACTGATTCAACAGGATTCGTCTGTAATGTGACACTGTGGGACATCCACTAAATGGAAGTCTGAATCATTTCATTCTTTTTTTGGGGACAAAACTATTTCAAATGTAAAACATTTGGTGTCCTAATTATACTTTTGTTAATATAGCAGGGCAAGTTTAGATTATATAATGTGGCACTGGTGCTTTATTACTCAAACTATAACAAATGCTTTGCTTGTTTACATTAATTTGTATATTGAATATGGGTTTTGTTTTCTGTGTTTCTTTTCTATTTAAAGGTTGTTTTTTTTAAACTAAACTACACTACACACGACGCTACACTAAGTGGCTTAGTGAACAAACTACTATGCTGAACCTACCAAAATAAAAGGAGGAAAAAGAAAAGTTGTTTGGTTATTGAGTGAAATCTAGTGAGAAATCCTGCGGGTAGACTCATCGGTCCTTCTCAAGTGGGGAAAGTGCACATGTTAACATAACTTGAGACTGACTTTGCTAAAATACTAAATAACTGAAGGAAACTACCTGACTGAGATGTCACATAGTGATACACATCTTAGTGTTGATGTTGAAGTTTGGGTGGGACGTTCTTCCTCTTGATGCAAGGCAAGGCAAGGTTTGTTTGTATAGCACATTTCAACAAACAAGGCAATTCAAAGTGCTTCACATAAAAACATTAAAAGCATCAAAACATAAAGCAAAGCCTTACTGCCCGACGCAGTAGGCTTACTTTTGAAAGTCTGTCTTGTGAAAAACATTTGAGAAGGAAAGAAACGAATCAGCATGAGCAAATGAAGTCTCAACCACAAGTTCTCCATTTAAATTATGACTATTTTCGTCTCTTTTTGTGTGTCTACTGTTCTCACATTCTTGTCCTTCCTGTTGCATCTTTTGGAGATTTGCTAGAATTTTATGACTCATCCTACCCTGACTCTTGCTTCTACAGAAATATAAATGTGTGACGTGGCAGTCGCTAACAGGACGTCGTGTTCAACTATCAGATGTTCGTTTGGATATCACCAGTCTACAACTTTCCTCTTGATCCATGCTGCTCGCTGTCACGCCAACTTATGAGAGCTCAAATCCCCAAATCTCACATCTATCTCCAAACTTTGTGTTTTGCTTTGATGGAGAAGATGCTGGCAATGCTGGTGCTTCTGATCCTGAAGCCAGGTAAGGAGTGACTCTTTTTCAAATTCCGTTTTAAGACAAAGTGCTAGGCTTGAATTTCTTTCCATAACTAGTGTTTTTATTCTATTGTGTTCATATTGAATTGTTATAAACACATCTAGCAAGGGCATAGTTTCATTTTCACAGGGGATGGGGGGTGACACGGTCCTCACTTCCCCAAATTAAAATGTTTGGAACCTGACCAACCCTTTATTAAACCCATGGTACTCTAGACATTTACAATAAATTCATTCCCTTTAATGCTCTCAAGTCTCATCTTAAAGTTAGGGAACTATTGGTGCAGCGCAGCATGTTTCCATTCCTTCTTTTAACTCTGCCTAACTAATTAAATACATTACATGATCTCTCTGCAGAAACTGTAAGTGCTGGTTGGTCAGTGACTTTTGAAAAAACAGATCCCTGTGCTTTAAAGGGATCGTCGGTGGAGCTCAGCTGCTCATACAACTACACGGATGAAGAAACTGTTAAAAAGACTGCATGGTACAAAGGGGAACTAGAAAACGGCTCCTGGAGACGTGTTGCGCTCTCAGACCTTCCTTCATATCAAAATCGTTTTGAATATCTTGGTGACCAGCAGCATGACTGTGGCCTGGCAATTGATGACCTGCAGGTTAATGACACCGGACATTACTACTTCAGGTTCGATACAGAGGCGTATGGAAGGCGGAGTAAGGAGTCAGTGTATCTGACTGTAACAGGTAAAATGATTCTACAGTGAGCGTGACTCTTTAATGTTTTCAGCTTTTCTTAAAATAGTGGCAAACCCTTGCGGTGTTCTTCATGGGACCTTATTTCTGAAAAAATGTGTGCGACAGTCAACGGCGAGAGACAAATGATATTTTGAATTGAGCCATACAAACATCTGATATTTTTCAATTTAAAAGATAATTTTGCAAGCCAAGAAAGTCGCAGTTTGCTGTAGTATAATTTAGTTTTGTGTGAAACCGTCAACAGTTTTACAGCAAAATGCAATTCACTTGATGTGCATAAATATCTTTCAAATTGACAAACATGATATCCGTACTTGATGGCACAATTCAAACGGGATCAAAACAATTACTTGTCACCTAGCATTGACTTCCGTATCTTTCTTTCAAAAGTAACTACTATGGTGGTCCATCGCAATGGACGGAGCTTCGCCTCTCTATATCATGGTCTCTGTTTCTTTAATCAACCAATGCAGAGCTGAGTGCCAAAGTTTACCCTGACAGTGTGAGAGCTGGAGACTACGTGACTCTTGAATGTATCACAACCTGCCAGCTTAATGGCACAGTTTGGTTTAAAGATGGACTTCCTGTAGCCACATCCGAGTTCCAGGCTCGAGCAGAGGATGCTGGGAATTATTTTTGCGCTGTCAAAGGACAGGAGTCAGTGCTATCTGACCCTGTGGCTCTGCGTGTTCAGTGTAAGTATGTTTATTATGACATTGTTGGTTGAGAAACCCATAATTCAGTAATAATTATGGGTTAATAATTATTGTGAGGAATAATTAACTGACATGTGATCAAACGGTCTCTTCACATATAATATTATTATTATGGTGATCTGTGCAATTTTGTTATTCAGGAAGTTTGTGTCAAATAAGTAGCCCTTCGTACTACTCGGTACCCTTGAAGTAGCTCTCAGTTTAAAAAAGGTTGGTGACCCCTGATTTAGAGGAATACATCAACATATTGGGGAGAATACTTGGCACTGCTTGTTATTGCATATTGAGATGGAAAAGCATATTAATGCCACTTTCATGTCTCCCTATTTATAAGAAGCTACTGCCAGCAGCAACATGATGAACTATGTCTTAACGTTTGACATTTAGTAGTGCCATTTATCCACTTGTTAGCAAGCGCCTCTTTTAAAACAGGAAACGCTTCAGATTTCACAATAGGGGAACCTACTAAAGTGAGAATAGGTTGTAAGAACAAGACGCTTAAATGTCATAAACTTGTGTTAAATACAAACTTTATTTTAAACATCTAATCAAAAACATATTCAGAAAACCCGTTGACATTACGACGAGGGAACTGAAAGTGTAAAAATGCAAACTAATTTCCATTTTTTAGGACTCATTCCTTCTGCTATTGCGTTGGCTACAAATGATCGGGATTATCTATAAATGTTTTCTTTTAAATTTGTAAAAAAATCCTACCTCTAAGTTCATGTATAAACAGCACAGTGGTTGTGTTTTTGATGCAGATCCCCCGTTGAATGTGTCTGTTGAGATGAGTTATTCGGGCCACCTGACAATGGGCAGCAGTGTGAATCTGACCTGCAGCAGTGCTGCTAACCCTGCAGCAGACAACTACACCTGGTACAGCAGTGCTGGTTCCAGTTTCAGCTCCCTGCTCCAGGTGGGGTCAGGACAGGTGCTGTCTCTCCCTTCTGTGGAGGCGTCCCACACTGGACTCTACCTCTGCCAGGCCAGCAACCGACTGGGAGAAAACAACTCAAACGAGGTGCTGCTAACAGTGGACGAAACAGACAGTGAGTATGGGAAGATAAGCAATTACAACCTGTTAAAAAAAATGTTATTGATATGTGATCAAGAAGCTCATCTGAGGAATGATAGTCATTGGTGTAAACTAGCGTGATTGGAAGTGTTTTTAGGGGATCGGGGAAACAATAAAATTTGATAAATCTTATATGCAACCATAAATCTAGAGTTAGACTTGAACGTTCTTGTTAAAAAGATTGTAGAAAATACGGTAAAGTGCAATATAATCAATATTTATGAGATAGTTTAATTTCTCACACTGTTTGTTTCTATTTCTACTAACAGCAAACCGTGTCATCCTCTTTGTTGGTATTGGAGTCAAAGTCTTTATTGGCCTGTTGCTTCCAATAGTTATTATTTGGGCATGGTAAGTTAAGTTATACACAACACTCTTGATTCTGTACCTGTCATTTCATACTGTGACTGCATGAAAAGAAGAAGAGTTCAATGTACACACTTTTCTCATTCCATTGTTAAAGGAGGCTGAGAAGTAAATCTGCTGTGGATAAAGAGGTAAGAGGGACGTGGTTCTGTTTCAGTGAAATGAACGACAGTTAAACACAAAATGTCTAAAGTTGTCCCGTTATGTTTCAGGAGAGAAATCGTGATTATGAAAACATCAGCACTGCTGAAATGGGCCAAAAGAACATGGTTACACAGAAGGAAATGTATGAAACCTGCCTCTGCCTGAGCCTCATTACACTCGATACATGACTTGGTATGCGAATGTCTAAGGTTTGTATGCTGCCCGGAGCTCAACCAAAAAACAGCTGGAGTTACGAGTAGAGCAGCAAGTTTGCCGACATGAAATGTGCAGCTGCACCTCTCATTCGTTTACAACTCCTGTCTCTGTAAAGGTTCAGTCCTTCGCAGGTTAGGAAAGAGGACAAATGTATATGTGGTTAGAGTATTTACTTTAGATATTCCAGTAGACAAATGTTATCATTTGACTGGATAGTCTGCGTGTACTTCAGCAGGGCTAAACCATTGAAGAAATGCATACATACAATGTCTTTGCTTTCTTTTTTATGATGTTTCTTCAGGACTGTTGGCAGATGTTTATTAATGTATGACCAACAATAGTATGAAACCTATTATATATATTTTTCTCTGATAGTCTTTGTTTTTTACCCAATTCTGGTGGAAAAATTGTTAAACTGCTGTATTTACTCATAAAAATCTTTCAGCCGAATACAAATATCAAACGTTTGTTTGATAATTATTTATCAAATGTTTGTTTGATAATTAATTATCAAATGTTTGTTTGATAATTAATTATCAAATGTTTGTTTGATAATTAATTATCAAATGTTTGTTTGATAATTAATTTCTGTATTCTCCTGTATTCTACCATTTTTTTGTATTGTTTTGCTCTAATCTGCAACAGATTACCAGAACTTCATGTGGTTTAATCACAAAGGCACAGATACAGTATGGCCACAGAGATAAAAACATGAAAAACACAACATTGTGAAACAGATTATTACCTCAAAGTGTACATTATTTATGGGCAGTCAGTGGTCAGTTTCAGTTCTACTTCTTCATAAATAGCACAAAGTGTCGAACAGATTTTGTAGTGGAATATTTCTAGGTTAATCGGGAGAAGAGAGTTTTTGTTCACAAATCAATAATGAAGTCATCAGAAGATTCAAAGTTGTCTTTTTCCGTTTTATTCTCTTGCAAGAGGGAAGAAAGCACAACAGCTACGTATTCAGTAGACTGTGTGAATGCTTCGACTAAGTATCAGACACCACATCATTTTTATGCAGACAGAGGTTCACGCCTTCAGATAAGACATTCATAGGGGAGTACAGGTCTTTTGACAAAGGCTGTCTTGATCTGCTCATTATCTGGAGTCTGCCAGGTGCATTCAACTGAGAGTAAGTTACAGTTTCGAGGTCTGTCTCAAACTTGCCATACAGACAAAGAAGACGGTGTGTCTTCACTTCCCCTTCTTGTGTGGGAGCGTGTGATCAACCAAAAGTAGGAAAAACAGGACATCAGGTTCATAAATTGATTAACTACTTCATCTGTTGTGTTTTGTCAGTGTCTGTGTTTCTCACTTTCAGTGGTACATCTTTTAAAACTTTCCATGATACTATAACATATTTTTCCCATTAGAAGTTGCATAAAGGAAGTGGTTCACTTAAAGTGACGGTGCCAGAACATCAACTCTTGTTATTCAAGTATTGAAGTAACATTCTTAGTTTTATGTTTGTTTCTTGAAAGATTACCAACTGGGCAGTTAGTGTCAGGAGGACAGGCAGTGAGACAGTGTGCTAGTGAGACACAAAGATGGACAAAAACAACTCCTGTCTCTGTAAACGTTCAGTCCTTCTCATGACACACTGGAGACACCAGGAAAACATTACTTCATTTTTTATTAATAAAATACTAAATGAATACTATTTCATCATGAAGGTGTTGTTGCTGAACATGATTTAGTTGTTTGAGTGATTCACTACTTGTATTGTGCAGCAGACTGTATCAAGAATCATTGTGGTCAAATCAGGATCTGCTGCCACCTTGAGTTTAACATACTCATGTACATTATGGTCTGGTAATCTTCTTCAATACCCTAATTGCATCCCATTCAGAACACATCTCAGGTGAGATGCACTAGCTAAAATCTTTTAAATTAGAAACTCAGTATATATTACTATGAATTAGTGGCATTAGTGTTGTTTGCTGGTGGTTGATCTTTGCACTACTGTTTTTTACCTAGTTAGTTAATTTAACACTTCTATTTCATTGTATATATTGTGCATTTTTTAATACTTAATATGTTTGGTTACTCTGTTACTTTGCTTACTTTGTATGTTTTGCTGCTGTAACGTACAAATTCCCCCCTGGGGATGAATAAAGTATACATCTATCTATCTATTACAATATGTAGACCCTCTCTTTCTCGTTAAATCGTCAGATAGATGTAAAAATTGTCCAGTAACTGAACCTGACAATCGGCTCTCGAACTAACATGTACATACATTATGTGAAACTGTCTCTTTAAATATTTGAAAACTCAAGCACTTCCTTGTTTACTTTATTAGCATGTGTGCACCACTTTACTCAACTCAATTTAATATGATAAATCAGACGCAAGAAACATTCTAAAAATAGACTAATGAGATGAGGAGTTGATGTCCAAGTATGTTTTGTAAATGGATGTCAGAGTCACTGTCCTCCTGGTTTTCATCCTCAGGCTCTGGTCATTATCGTTTAGAGCCTTATCACACTGAAGAGTTTACTCAAAACCACACAGATGAGGCCCGGCCTAACTGTAAAATTCTCCTAATTGGATTATTATGACTGTTTTCCGTCATCATCTTCATTCTCCTCATCACCAACAGGCTTCCAGAAACTGCTGTTTCTTGACATTGCTTATACATAGCTGGGTGCTCTCTGTGGCGTGAATTTAAAATGTATTCCTGCAACAGTTCAACCGACTAGAAAACAAAGTAGGAGGACCTCTAATGAAAACAGCAGATTTTCTATTATCTCTGATACAATACATTTTTTCTTTTCTTGAAGATTGCTTGGTTAACTCCTGACAGCAGTGTTTAGTTTATCCCAAAGCACAATCACACTTAAACAAGTGGAAGATATTCAGACTATTTGCTTCAGTTCTGTCAGTTTTCAAATTAACCATTTAGTCTCTTAAAGCGTTGATCCTCATTGAGCTCAGTTCATTGAAATCCAGGAATTAAGGGTTTCAGGATTGTGTCCCGTGTCCTGATCTTCAGGTTGTCCCACTGTGTGAGTTGACACCACTGCAAACGGGCTTGTAAGTTGGTTTTCTTCTGTGTGCATGATTTCAAGGAGCCCAAATGTGCAACAGCATGTGAAAGCAATACTAGTTTGAATTTGTCTGATTGTATCATCAGGGTTTACTTGGCAACATGAGGTGCGAGTTACTTGATTAAATAAAACATGTCTCTTCTGGTGTTTGTACTTTGTGCTGAATGAGTCCTTAAGGGGCTGAAGCAGTTGTCTCAGTGAGGACATACGACTGGTGTCTGGATGACTTCTGTCTCCTGAAAGGACAAAGAATTGATCAAAAAACATTGCCATTTACATTATCAAGTTATTTTGATCTTGATACATTTGTCTTAAGAAACCAAATTTATTAAAACTGAAGAACTTTGGCTAATATTCAGACTATATTGTGGGCATCGCCTCAACCTTTTAGTGACACGTTATAGTCGCATCTTATTATTGAAATAGTTCAAGCAACAAACATGAATACAAAGTGTTATGAATGAAGCATCAGGAGGTTTCAGACACAGTATCACATCTCGTTAGGCTGTGTGCTACACTGGATCTTTTCAACCACACAATTAAAATAAAAACAAACGTACTTTTTAGGAGTACTGAAGTATTAAAACGGTATGGTACCTCTAAAGATTCCTGATGCTGAAATGCTGATAGAAATATAACTAAATGAAATCAGCTGTAAGAGAAGCAAAGAACTCACCGTGTCAAGAAAAAGGCCACTAGGGCCATAATAGCCAGGAGAGCAGCGATGGTCACTCCGATAACCACCAGTCTGCCTCCTGAAGAGTCAGACTCTGTAGTGGACAGAAAAGGGATTAGAGCCTGAACAAACAAATCTTAGACAGTAGTCTTTAATACAATGTGAATGGACGGACGTTGGACCAAGAGTATGTCAAATGTTGTGGTATTTCATAATGTTGGGCTTCATGACAGCAGAGTGGTGTTTGTTCTTAATGGATTAAATGTAAAATATTTAAACTAAATACTGACTGGACAGAGTCGTCTTTTTTTCTGTTGCATCTCAAAGATAGAGAATAGATAAGTAGGTTGTCAAATGTAAAAATAATGTGGACTTCACAGAACCTTAAAAAGAGTCAGATAGTGGCAGAATGGGTCAGCCATTAATTACAGGATTGGTGGCTCGATCTCCTCTGGACACACAAAAAAAAAATGGTTTTGAGCAAGACAACGAATCACAAATATCTCCCCAATTATACGTGGCCAAAATATCTTAGTGGCCAACTGGATAAATCATTTTACTTTGTTATGGGTAAGGGTCAGATTTATTGTCATTGTCAAAGGTGAGAGTATACAAAATGCCCACTACAGCATTTGTGAATCCATCTGTCACCTCTGTCATGTAAGCACTGCCTGTTTTTTTCAAAAATGTCCAAAAACACCTGCTCGACCCTGCCAGGTGTTACTGTGGGACAATTTTCTGCAAGATTGAGGGGCGAACATACTTGCCACTGAAAACTGAAAAACTCCTGATTGTTTGAATGACAGGCTCGCCATGGACCTACCTTTGGTACCTGTGAGTGTTGTGCTGTCGGTCTGTGATCCGTGCCTGTTGCGTGCTATACAGCAGTGCTGCCCATTCTGCTCAGCGGTGATGTTGGCACTGCTGAGGGTCGGGCCTTGTCCTGTGGGTTGAGCCGGCGATTGCCTTGCTTGATGAACGCTTTTGTCTGCCGTAGGGAGGCATGCTGCACCCTGGTACCAGGTGTAAGTGTGGACAGGCGGGTTAGCGTCACTGCTGCAGGTCAGAGTCACAGGAAGCCCGGCCTGTGTCTGAGCGACAGAGACAGCTGTGTTTCGAGGAGAATCTAGACAGGAAGGAGATGAAAGGTCAGTTGCTTCAATATTCTAGTCAGAAGCCCCTTGCTTAGCTTATGTTAATGTTACGCACAGCAACAGACAGAATGTCTAAATCAGGATTAACTTTACTTACACTCTACGTCAATGTGCAGCTTTGTTGAGTTCTGCACTTTATCTCCAGTGTGTATTTCACAGTAGTAGCTGCCAGAGTCATCGGATGTAACCTCACTGATGTTCCACACCTGTCCAGCATGTCTCAGGCTGGTGCTTGTGCTCTTGTACCATCTGAAACGGGCCTGTGGACTGGCCGCAGGGCTGCAGCAGGCCAGACGTAAGGCCCCGCCTTCCGTGATATCACTGGAGGGACTTGCGGACACTGCGACGGCGCTGGCGGAGTCTGGAGAAAACGAGAGTTAGGAAAGATGACAAATGTATATGTGGTTAGAGTATTTACTTCAGATATTCCAGTAGACAAAAGTTATCATTTGACTGGATAGTCTGCGTGTACTTCAGCAGGGCTAAACCATTGAAGAAATACAAACATACAATGTTTTTGCTTTCTTTTTTATGATGTTTCTTCAGGACTGTTTTCAGACGTTTATTAATTAGTGACCAACAATAGTATGACACCTATTATATATATTTTTTCTCTGTTTTTTACCCAATTCTGGTGGAAAAATTGTTAAACCGCTGTATTTACTCAGTTGAAAATCTTTCAGCCGAATACAAATATCCAACTTTTGTTTGATAATTAATTTCTGTTCTCCTGTATTCTACCTTTTTTTTTTATTGTTTTGCTCTAATCTGCCACAAATTACCAGAACACAGGCATCGATACAGTATGGCCACAGAGAGAGAAAAACAAGAAAACAACAAGAGTTCAGACAAGACTCCACACAGACGTTTCTCAATAATTTCTTAAGACTATCTTTGTGGTGGAACAACGCCACCATTTCCCAACACCCCATGTTTTCCACGCCCACAATGAGATTGCTTTTCAACAGGTGCTAATGCCTTAAATTGCTCCCCTGTTTTTGAAAAGTTCACTAAATACTAGTTTACAGTTTGTCTTTACATGATTGGCTGTGAGCGATGACTCGGCTAGAAAACTGTAACTGGCCTTTGACATTGTGAAACAGATTATTACCTCAAAGTGTACATTATTTATGGTCAGTCAGTAGTCAGTTTCAGTTCTACTTCTCATAAATAGCACAAAGTGTCGAACAGAGTTGCATAAAGGAAGTGGTTCACTTAAAGTGACGGTGCCAGAACATCAACTCTTGTTGTTAAGTATTGAAGTAGCATGCAAAGTACAAATATTCTTAGTTTTATGTTTGTTTCTTGAAAGATTACCAACTGGGCAGTTAGTGTCAGGAGGACAGGCAGTGAGACAGTGTGCTAGTGAGACACAAAGATGAACAAAAACAGTCACAACATTGAGGAAGGACAAATAAAAAGACTGTAAAACTGCCAGTTTTTTCTTTATGATTTTAAATGTGAGCTATAGGTAAAAAGTTAAGTCATAAAAACACCCTGTTGGCAAAAACATACAGATACATGACATGTCATGTTGTCACCATTTTGAATCTTGCTTTATGTTTTTATTGTCTTAAATACTTTGCAACTCTACAAATTGTGAGCCATTGATTGTGATGGAACTTCTTTTTTGATGATAATTATGATTGTGATGGTGATCATCATGTTGATTATGGTCAGTTGTAAACGAAATATTCCCACCTGCCACCAGGAGCTGTACACCGCTCTGCTCTGGCATCTTCTGTGTAGGGTGGCTGGTGATGAGGTAAAACACGTATGCTCCACTGTCCGACTTTCTCACATCAGAGATTGTCAAAGAGCAGTTTTTTGTCCCTGGTTGTCCCAGGTACCCCACCCTGTTCTGGTAGGATGGATCTGGGGAGATACCGGCACTGTGGAAGACGTATCTAAGACGGACAGATAGACTTAGATACTTACTATACGTACTATGAGTGCTTTGCCTAAATGAATCGCAGGTCTTTCAGTGCGCCTCCAACAATACCTTGATGTTATACAGCGACTGTCTTCGAGACACCACATCTCAGACAAAACTTTGTACTGTTGTCCTTCTTCTCCTCCTCCACCCTAATAGAGTCACATTTGATAAAAAAAGAAAATGAAGCAAATTATCAGATGCTTATGCCTATGTTATTCTGGTTTCAGATGTTCAAACCACTTATTGCAAGCTTATTTATTTATTTGAAACCTTGCAGAGAAAGTCTTCTGGTTAAAGACACACTGCAGGATGTATTGCAACGGCTAACAATGCCTTCTTTATTGAATTACCTGAGTAGAGAGCCGTCCCTCTTCCTTGGTTTCATTAGAATGTTGGGGGTAGTCATATGAACAAGGGATAACCACAGAGGAACCAATCACCGCACAGATAGGACTGGAGGGGAGACGAACTGACCAATCACCTGCAAGAATACCTGATGGGCAGAGGATATGTGTTAAAATAACCACCAAGTTACATTGCAATGGTGTAAAATGAACTCAATTAAAGATAAGGGAATATATTTGACGTATAACGGATTTTCAGTATTAAATGACATTATCCAGTGACAGATGGATAACTGACAAATCTGAGTTGCTACAATGTCCAACACTGTATTTCTGAACATTTAAAAATCCTTAAACCGAAATAAGTTTGTGTCTGCTCAGAAGGACTTGGTCTCTACCCATAGGATTTATTTTTTGGTGCAATGTAAGAATGCAACAAGAACATATACATTCATATAGTTCTGGTTGTAGCCTACTTGTTGCCCCAGAATTGAAAAAAGATTTTTTTTTTGGCAACTGCAACATAACAATTGGGGAAGGTGTTACACAAATGCCACTGAAGTAATCCTCCAATCCGTTGTGACCACACATCAGCTTCAAATGCCACATGGTTGCCAGTCTAAGAATGACCTGTCCAGCTCAACACTTTCAGTTAATTCTCTTCAATCAGTGTTGAAACTCCAGACATATGCCGGGTCATGTGATCTGCCCAGTGCTAAATGGTGTCACCATAGATGTTGCCGGTAGTCTTACCTGTCAGAGAGAGTGTGAAGAGCAGCCAGCAACAGCAGCACTGTGCCTCTCGTCCACCCATCTTCTTCTCTTCCTGCTGTGGCTGATGCTTGTTTTGTTGTGATCTTCTGACCTTCCTACCTCAGTCACCTGCTCTCTTCCTTTTGGCTTCCTGTCTGCTCGCCTCCCTCTGTGACTCTGTCAACCAATCTACCCTCCTCTACTCTGTAGTTAAACTCGCTGATGTGCCTGCTTCCCTTCATCCAGAGCGAATTCTTTTTTGGTCAGACTTCCCTTTTATTTTCTCTGTCAACGAGGAACTGTGATGATGACTTGGCTTTCATGTCAGCAAAGGGAGCTCACTGTAAATAAATGTGTGGGTAGATGGTGGATGGGGGACACTGTGTTTACTGGCCAAGCTGTACCAACAGAGACATGAAGCTTCATTCACATTAGCTCAGAGTAATATCTATACAAAAACAGCTGACATCCTTAAATCAGTTTACAATCCCTTTTTTAGGACAGCGTGTTCACCTGCAGCAGGTCTGCAGCTCGTGAGGTATCTCGTGCCGTGTTTGTCCACTCAGAAACGGTCAGTTGACGTCACTCGTGAGTCGTGCCCCCCTCGTCTGCGCAGCAGAGCGCTCACAGGGCGACCACTCAAAACGACAAAGTTGGGATACACTTTCACTAACTTTGTCTCAGTTAGTCCATTAGTCTTCCAAATGTTTCTCTCTTTTCTGTTAGAAGCGGGCGTCGGTGGTTTTGGTTGATAGAAACGGTCGCTAAAACGTTGCTACTTGTTTTTTCTTCTTCTTTCTTTCTTTGTTTGAGGTCAGTAACCTGTGAAGAAAGCAAAACGGATTTACTGCAAACTGGGATTTATCTGTGCTGGCGTCTAAACAGTTATGGTCGCCTGTTTTTGAGGCAGAATAGTCTTTTGTTTTTCTATATTTCAAAGATAATTTGTCACTAACGAAGGCCAGTACTACACCTGCTGCAAGAAAACACAGGTGAGTCACTTTTTGTTTCAGCCCTGTAGTTAATGTAAGCTAACTCTGAAAAGAAGCTATTAGCTAACCATTTAACGTTTAACAACGTTAACAACGTTAAATGCCTTTACATAACGTGGCTGTAGACTATACCCTACTACTAGCAACCAGCAGTTAATAGCTATTCAAAATTAAACACGTTTTCAGTAAAATATAGTCGCCATTTTTTATAGTTTTAAGCCATTTTAATGTCTTTTGTTCTGTTGAACCAGTGTCAGAGGACTAAAGACCTCTGCAGCCTAAAGTGATACAAATATCATAGCAATATCATATTAAACTGTTTTACCTGTAAGATTTAGTAATTGGCGAAAAACACTTTTCCATAACTTTCTATTGTTACATTTTAACTCCATGTAAGAATGCCTTGTACTCATTTGCTCCCTGTGGTCTCATATCACGTGTTTGTTAATCTTTGGTTAATAAAGACAACAGTCTTTTATAATAAGAAGCTTGTTCACGTGGAATGAAGATACAGATGTTTTGGAAAAGCAGCTCAGTTAGTATAAAAGTGATGTCTTCCATGGACTTCATACATTTGTGTTTTCATTGTCAGTTTTCCATCTTAATAATAATAAGTTACATAAAGATGACTTGTTTGTTGTTTGTTGTGTGTGTGAGAGAGCAACAATTAATAACTGAAAACAACTGCTCTGAAACAAACCTGTGATGTAACCGGACTGTACTTTGGAGCATATCGATTAAGTAATATAAAAGTGTAGTGCGTATGTGTAGTAGTATTATGAATCAGTGTTCTAGTTTGTGGCTAAACTAGTTTGTCCTCTCACTTTATATAACATAGGTTCTTCAAATCTCATTTAACTTGGTCTAACTGACTATCTTTATGATACATGTTTATTTACATAAATTATAAGTGTTCCCTACAATAGTGTGGTGTTTGTTTGTCCCTTAAACCCTCAATATTATATTACCAGGCAAAAGTGACTGGCAAGGCCACAGACCACCTGCCCTCAGGAGTCAAGGAGAGAAGGAAGGAAGGAAGGAAAAAAGGAGAGAAGAAGCCGGAGACAGATCATTGTCTATTGGTGGCCTCTGCTTCCTATTGTATACAGATGTATGCTGAGAAAGTTGGGACAGAGGGGAAGATGGGTGAGTGCACATAATACATACACTGTTGGCCATGCCGTCATTGTCACACACACACACAGATACACACACACAGATACACCCACACACACACACACACACACACACACACACACACACACACACACACACACACACACACATAAACATGCACAGATCAAAATGCTGTGCTGGTCATGCTGAAGCGCATGCTGCCTGTTTTCTGTATGTGGGACCAGACATCAGTCCACTCAACAGTTAACCATTAACTGGTTTGTTCAAAGCTGGCAGGCTGTCTCTGATGTTCACTGGGTTTATTTTTGAAGTTTCTCCTCCAGCTTGAAAAACATAAACTTAGATTGGTTATGCTATTTTTCATGTCTGATACGATTTGTATAAATCATAACTCAAATAGAAATGTGATGTGTTGATAACTGGGGCCAGAGGTAACCACTGACCTTTACTCCAAATTACACTTATTTGTAGCACATTATATTTACAGTAATGACAAATCTCTCTCGGCAGTCATAAACAAACAACTCACTGGAGCTCTCAATGAAGCTCTCCTACCCGATCCCATCAAACACACTCCCATCACCATCAGTGACTCACACATTTTAATGGAAAGCCCTCACATCTGTCCTGTTACGTGGCACTAGCTGTAATGCAGTGTGTTCATGGCTCCTAATGAGTTTACTCCTAATTAAATGATGCTGTTATGGCAGGAAAGATAAGATTACTTGCTAAAGTTTACTGCTGCTAGAAAGCGCTTTTGTCATTGTGAACTGTGAAACTCAAATATATGTAGAGACAATAAATTAACTTTGTATATGTTTATACCCCACAGCCCTGCTAAACAAAAGTACACCTACCTTACATTGCTGGGACAAATCGAGTGCCAGTACGATGAAGCCAGTAGTCTCCCATTAAGTCAAGTCTTTAGTTGAAAACGGACAACAAATCTTCTGCTGTTCTCATCACCAGGTCTTCTTGTTGGGCTGTGACTTACGTTCTGTGTCTATACATGGTCAGCGTTGGGTTTGTAGTTTCTGTTGCCCAACTGAAGGGAGCCCACCCAGATGCAGTGATTCAGGCTGTGTCTTTGGTGTGTATAATTACAAGAGAAACAAAGTCTGGCCAAGGAGTGGCACACATGTGGCTTATTTTGTGTGACTCTGCGCTCGGATTAGTTGGGACATGATCTATTTTCAGAAACAAGCTGTGTTTACCTTCAACATGACATGCGTACGGTTCACATGTCTGAACATGTACAGAAACACAAATATGCACATTCACACACATTCGTACTGGGCAGGGTATAGTAATCAGTCTAGTATTTACTGCGCACTATCATTGTGTTTATTTTAACTTTTCTGTCATGACAACCATTACAACTATGAGTCAAAGCTTCTGCTGTGTGTGAGAGAGAGGTTTTCTTCTGCTTCTGTATTGTTATATTTGCTTCATACAGCTTTAACCACACCTAGGTTAACTTAAGTCTATTCAGGAAGGAAATATATTTAAATTTTTTTATTTTGAAAACCCTTTAAACCCCTGTCCTCATTGAAAGTGGAGAGAATGTATGTTGAATTTAGCTCAGCCCTGTTTTTGATGGACCAAATACACGACAATCTGTTCCTCCTGGTTTGACAATATTGGAATGTGTTTCCTTAAGTCTACATGTCGGTGGACGAAGGATATCGCAGCAGAGGCTGACTGTATGGTGAGGTGTGGAGTGGATCAAGAGACATGGTGAACATCAACCTCGTATGTAAAAAAACTGGTACATGGACCTTGAGTTTGGATTATTTTGTAAAACAACTCCTTTCAAGGTGAACAATGACATTTCATACCTAACTTTAAGCCAACACGAATGAGAAGTTGTAAAAGAGATTCTGATTAATTTATAACAGCCACTGAACTTGCATGTCGGATCCATCTTCTTGAAAACGGAGCAAACTTTGTGACACAGTAGGAAGCTCTGGAAAAACACGAAGAAGAGCTCCAGAGAGAAATCGGACTTCTACCTTGTAGCCATGACTTCTGTTGCCTTGCACGGCAGCTTTGTTTTGTGCAATCACATATCACACGAAAAATCCATCATTACAGGCTTCAAGTAATGCATTAAGCCAGAGCACGGACCAATCAGCGTCCTCTGATGAGCTGCTGGCATCTATGGGCGGGGCTTAGGCGTGTGAGAAACGACACAGAAAAGCGGCTCCTAAAGAGGTTAGCGTAGATGCTGCAATAGCATCAGGATATTCATTCTCTACTCGGGTAGACGCTACTCCACTATATTTTTACAAAGCAAATAGTTGTTTGCTGCTACATAATTGCTCTGAATGTTGAATACAGCTCCTTTAAGGAAAATACCTTATGTTGTGTAATCTTTCATTTCAGATTAACTACATCATAGCAGAAAACTTGAACGTGACTTTTCATATTCTTCTCTTGATTTTGGTTTGAAGTGTGCAGCCACACATCTGGTACACACAGCTGCTTCTTTTCACCCAACAGTGTAGTGCTACAGCGGGAGGGTGTAATGCGTGCAGAATGAAGTGTGTCACTCCCAGCATGCCTGTGAATGAGTAAACACACAGTGAACCTTTTCCATCCTGCTGCTTCTGCTGGTCACATGACTCGTGGATGAGGATAGAAATAATCACCCAAAATAAAGATGTATGTATGTAACATTAAGTGATGATTCATTCTTACCTCTCGTGCCAGCTTTATTTACCACAGTGGCAACAAACCATGGCAACAAACTACCAGTCACGCTGTGGGGAAGCCCTAAATGTTCACTGCTTTGTGGAATGTGTGCCACTTTTAGCTGTTGATCTTTTTGTTGTGCATACATTTAGCTTTAGTACATTTGTTGTTTACAAGCTTGAACAAAGTTTCAGATATATTCAACAGTATCATCACAGTGTCTTCAAGAAACTTTGGTTAGTTTCTTCCTTTGATCAAGTTTTCAAGTTGCTGTTTATTTTCTGAACGAATAGGCTGTAACTTGTGACTCGTCAGAGAAAAGTGTTGTAAATTATACACAAGCGTCACACATAGTTATTAATTAGTAGAATTGTGGATAGAGTTAATGTTGATATCCCATTTACAATACAATACAGCACCCACAGCTTATGGTAGGTGAATTATATCTGTTTGCAATTAACTATACAATAAACTTAATACAGTTTTACAACTCTGTCTCGCTGTGAAGGACTGTGTTTGAATCTTTGAAGATAACACAAAAAGTTCTATTGTATTCACATTATTATAATAAAAGATATGCAACATACCTACCTTTTACTACTGCAGTGTGCTCGCCATCACATACTACCACAGTGATTTCAGGTAAATCCCTGACTCATAACACACACATGCAGACACACATACACTCAGGAGAAAGGTGGTCTCAGGTAGAAGTGGACACAATAGAGTGTTTGTTCTGCTCTGCAGTTTGATTGGGAAGTGCGCTGTGTTAGGGGAGAAGAGATCAGGAAGGAGAGAAGAAGAAAGACGTCTGGAAACAAGGGGGGTGGGCAGCTCCAGTGCAGGTGGAGTTGAGGTGTGTGGAGGAAAATGTTGGGGTATTTCCTGGAAAACACAATCTGAACAAATGAACAGGAGCCTGGAATGTCCCTCTGATAGTATGTCCAGTGGCATTCATCAGATATGTTCACTGCTTTTTGTTTCTCATTTTTACATTTTTCTACCTCGGTTATCCTCATCTCTCTCTGACCTTTGGGTCCCCCATTGTTAATCAGAATTTAACAACCCAAGGAACAATAACACCATTATTATGCCGACTGGATGTTTGGAGGGGGACGAGAGGACAGGTACAGAGGGAGAGGAGGAGCAGACAGGAGGCACAAAGAGGGGAGGGGAGGAAGAAGAGGGATGGGTACAGAGGGAGGCAAGGAAAGTAGGGACATTTAAGGGAAATGCAGTCGAGTAGATGGGGTTGTAGAGGGAGGGAGCAGATGTGAGGAGATAGCTTAGAAGGATGTTAAGGTCACTGGATGAGTAGGTCGACACCGCTATCGTGTTTCTTGATAACGTAGAAATTCTGCAACTGTGGGACCAAACAGTGTACGTGGTTCTGTACAACACTGGTTCCTTGTCATTCCTTGAGGTGTTCACTGGCCCTCTAATGTCTAAAGAAGAACATTAAAAATGCCTCCTCACTAACTGATGTGGGTACTAATGTGGGGAGAGAAATGTTGGAAGGAGACAGTGGCAGGAAGGAAACCTGGCATGTAGAATGTTTTCTTTGATTCGATAGGAAACATTCATGTTCTTACAGTATCTGCAGTTGTTTCATGGCACATTGATGGAAAGTATAACTGTTACAGTCCTGAGTGTCCAACGCAGCGTAATGAACAGAAAACACTTAGTTACAGACACAGGCTCTAATATTATATTAAAGTACTTGACGAAGGGTTACATTTGCCCCCTCAGCATGGACACCTTATTTTTTTCCTTCAGCTGTTACTGAAGACAAACAGACGAAAGTATTTATACATTGAATAGAATTGACAGATACTTGAGACCACTTTAGGCTCCCAGGTTCAATTTGTCACTTTTTACAGCAGTTATAGCTGAAAACACACAGGTGTAGTTAATCACATAGTGATGTCTGCATTAGGTTTACTAGGACCAGAGCTTTGCCATTGTCCATGTGTGTTCATTGTCATGGCTTAAATATAGTGATGCTATCGTTAATGTTATTAGTGCTGGGCGCTGTGACTTGTCTACCACTGATACCGGGAAATAATTATACATTTTAGAGGCTCTCGACACAGGTGTAAATAACACAACTAATTATGACTGATCTCCATCGAGCTGCTTCAGCATTGTGCATGCTAGCTCACTGTCACACTGGCATGGCTTACCACCGGGATACTTGAATATAATCAATGTCATTAGTAACACCTGTGCTTTTCCTACTGTGATGAGTCAAAATTTCTGCTGTGAAAAAGTTACAGTCTCCTGTTAGTTTTGTTGCTCCTGTCGTTAAAGTGAAATATTCATCAATATAATCAGTCGGGTTGGGCTGGTGTTAATGTGTCTGTGTCAAGAGGCGTAACCTAGCCTCCAGCTTTTGTCTGCACTGTTGCTCTAACTTTGATGATGATGATGATGATGATGATGATGACCGTGGTCTTATGTAAATAGTTGTTACTAGGACGGGAAATGAGCTGAGCTGTTTTTAATGATAAGGGATGTGCATGGCAGGGTGACAGTTCACACAAAGAGAGGATTTTTCAATACTATTTGCTCTTTTTTTGCCATTCTGCCTTACAATGACAGGTACAGGACAGGTGGAACTAATGAGATTAGTTCTGGCTCTGTACCATCTAAAGTGTCCTAGTAAGCCATAACAGTTAGCCAGCATGCTCAGTCCCAGGACCCTGGAGCTGACACACCAGAATGGATTTATTCATGTTAATAATCAAACTTTTGTTGTCTAATCTATTACATGTCTGCAATAAAAAAAAATATGTATTAACTCTAAGTTGTGTGTCAAGTTGGCAAACTTGAGAAGAGGATAAAAGGGGCAGAAATGGAGACACACACATACTGTACATGCACATGGGACAAACATGGCACTATATCCTAGTTTAAAAGTGTGTTCTTGCTTTGTGGAGAAATGCTAGACTTTACACTATTGATCCAATCTGTGTCGTTTGCACTCTTCATTCTTTGCCAGGAAATGTGCAGCATGCCCCTGATACCGGTCATTTTACTGATGTTTGTTGTCTGGCAAAAAAAAAAGCCCAAATTAAATACAAGCACCTAGCCTCAACTTTTGCCATGTATTATTTTGGCATATGTATATTTGTCAACAACAACACAGATAGTGTTAGTTCAATGTTGTATTAGTTATTCTTTTGATTTCATCACCCAAGTCTTCTTCTTCTTCTCACCATTTTATACCAAACAACTCAATTTATCAAGAAAATAATCAATGAAAACACTCGTTAGTTGCAGCTCTAAATAAGTGTATGTGCACTCATTTCTATGTGTGTGTGTGTGTCTGCAGGGAACAGGGGAATCTCTCTGACCTGTGTGTTGACCCCCTGCCGTGTGATTGGGGTGTGTGTGACACTGATGACCTTGGGAGCCATTGGAGCAGCCGTCTGGGCCGTAGGTCAGACCGCATGCTTTCACGCATACACATAGTCACACACATATGATGACCATAATAATCTGTTGTTTAAAAATCTGGTGATTATTCTGTCAGTATTTGCCATCATGTATTTATTGACTCAACATATAACGGACGTTTTCTTTTTTATTACCCTTCTGTAGTCACGTATTGCACATACGATGAAGACATAGGGCTGTATGATGGTGAGTAAGAGAGGACAGGATTTCTGATAGGAAGCTGTCTGTCTGTCTGTCTGTCTGGCTGTTACTCTGCCAGTCTCTCTGTTTATGTATTTTGATACATGCAGGTTCAGTTTCAGATTCATTTATTTTAAATGTGTATCATCAAATGCAACTTTTTATAAATTATGAGAGCAGACTCAACTCAGAGGTTTAATGGACAAACAAGCAAGAGAAAGTTTAGATTGTGGTCTCTTCTATGTCACATGTTGCTCAATAGGAGCAGAACTTAAGCAGACAACTATCTCTGGTCTCGTAAAAATGACACATATGATCACAGTGAGAAAAGAAAAATCAATATAAAGTAATCAGGAGTGTGTGCTATTGTACCAAGTGTGTTTAAACAGTAACCTCGTGTCATTCCCTGCAGTCCAGGTAAATTCTGCTGACCAACGTCTCAGAGTCTTTGACTCTGCCCAGAAGAGGTGGCGTCAGGTGTGCTCCTCCTCAGCCAATGAGCTGCTAGCGAGCATCAGCTGTGAAGAAGTGGGCTTCATCAGGTGAGATGTTATTAACCAGCATACCTCCATGTTTTCATGCAGCATAGTGTGACACAGCACTGAAGTGTGTGCGTCTGTTTCAGCGTGGTGAATTACTCCGTCTCGTCAGTGCCAGATGCCAGTGGAGACGGCGGGGACTTCTTCTGTGTCCGACCGCAAGAGCTCAGCTATGGCAAGAAAATCAAAGACTCGTTGTTCCCATGGTAACAAACACCTGTTTCACAGCAGGCTAACCTACCACGCTGTCCTCTTTTCTTTCACTTGTCTCCTCGGTGGACAGGCTGTTGCTGACTCTGTCTGCCTTTGTTTCAGTGACTGTGAGAGCAGGGAGGTGCTCACCCTGTTGTGTCAAGGTGAGATGTGAGCTCAGATCTGCACTCAGACATCCACTGCTCATCTTTCACAATATGCTGGGATTATCATCCTGCAATACACCTTAATAGAAGTGCCTCTCTGTCATTGTTCTCTCCTTCTTTCTGCCTATCTCACGCTCACTTACTTTGCTTTTTTTTTTTGTCCTGTCTTTGATATTAAATGTTTAATTCTCTCACCTGCAGTTTACCCAGACAGTAAAGGCTCTCCTCTCTCTCCTCGGCAGACTGTGGCAGGCGTAGTTTTGCAGCAGACCGTATAGTCGGCGGTGTGGATGCCAGGCAGGGCACTTGGCCTTGGCAGGTCAGATTGGAGTACGACGGAGTTCATCAGTGTGGAGGAACCATCATCTCAAACCGCTGGATCGTCTCAGCAGCTCACTGCTTCAGAGAGTCAGTAATCCAGCCGGATTTTATACAGGAATCATATTTCATTTTAAAGCACATTGTGGACAAATTCAATATATATATATTTTTATTACATTCTAGACGATATCGCTCTGTGAATCGCTGGCGTGTGCAGCTGGGCTCCATCTATAGTAAACCAATCAACGGCAACGTGGTGGAGGTGAACACCATTGTTTACCACAGCAGCTACCTGCCCTTTGTAGATGCTAGCATTGATGACAACAGCAGGGACATCGCTGTGCTGGCCCTCACCCAGCCCCTCACTTTCAACGGTAGGCCACACTGAGGTGTACACACCTGTTCGTGAGCCACACTCATCGACACACACCTGAACATTTGATTGCATGATGACAACGATTAGAGATGAGGAAGACTGACAAAGACCTGGAGAGAACCAGATCGACACAGAGTCAGTCATTATAGTCATTTGCCTGCTTTATGTCTCCTGTTTCCCAGATTGGAGTCAGCAGGACAAAAGTTCTTTTATCCAACATAGTTATATCAGCACTGAGCAGTAACCACCGGTTCCTCTCGTGTCTGAAGCTCTCTTTGTAATTAAATATCACTTTGACAGGGAGAAAGGTACAGTAAATGCATACAAGACTCATCTTTCTGTGTGTGTGTGTGGCATTATAGGTCTGAGAGAGACAGAGGCTAGCTTTGTGTTACAGTGCATGTCACAGCTCTCCACATTTTAAACAGTCCAGCAAGTTAAGCTTAAGTCAACCTACTTAATGGGTTTTGAGGAAATGACAAATAAGTAAATGCAAATATACTATATTAACATTATCTGTACTAACAAATAAGATGAAGGAAATGATGAAGACCCATGCTGAGATATGGACGTACAGTAGAGGAACAAGTCAGTGGCTCAAGTAAAAAAAACGTTTTTAGATAATTGTCATTAATGTTGATTAATAACACGACCTACCTTGAAGAAGAAGAAGAAACTTGAAGTTGAAGCTGTTGAAGCAATCTTTAAGTAGGTCACCTCTGACATCTAGTGTTAGGCTTTCATAATTACAACCACAACATGACAAGTAAAGGATACTCTTAAATTAAATGGCTCTCTGTACAGTGCACTGTTTCAGTGCTGTTGATACACTAATAGAAAAACATGTGGTGTGTAGCTTTATGAAGCAAAGATGTCACACATTATATTATATATTAAGACAGAAGCTGACAAAAAAAGCTGAAGAATCAACATAACAGAGATCTACATTTTCAGGTCATTAATACGGTGCATGGTAAGAATGATGGTTCTTGCCCATTGATTTACAATTACATTACATTACAGTCATTTAGCAGACGCTTTTATCCAAAGCGACTTACAATTCAGAGTCTATCACATTTCTACACCGTAGGCACAGCTACGGGAGCAATTATTTCACCACTTCTTGTCTCCTGACACATGTTGCAGTGGTTTGGATGATTGTGCGTGTGTGTGTTTGATGGTGTTATTACGTGTGTTTTACTTACATCTTAATACATATGTTTGTGTGTAGAATACATCCAGCCTAGTTGCCTGCCAGCCTACGGTCAGAGACTGATAGACGGACAGATGGGAACAGTAACCGGCTGGGGAAATGTAGGTTACTATGGTGAGTCGTCTGCGTTTCAGCTGTACTGTAATACACTGCAGAACATTTGACGTTGGATGACATTATTTGCAATCCTTGTATCAACATAAATAACATGTGCTATCATAAGAAACAGCACCAGTGTACGCTTTGATCTACATAAATACATAAGAAGGTGAGAGTAGAGTAATAAAGTCTTGATGATTTTCATTTTTACAAGGAAGGACCCATAGCAATTCATACTTCATTTTAGATATACCCCCCCCCCCTCCTCCAAAGTATTGTTGTTATTTAAATGTTCTTGCTTTCTCACATGCAGGTATTCTAGCAGATATTCTCCAGGAAGTGAACGTCCCCATCATCAGTGACGCTGTCTGCAATGCTCCTGACTACTATGACAATCAGATCACCACCAGTATGTTCTGTGCTGGTTATGAGAAAGGAGGCACTGACGCCTGTCAGGTCAGAGTGTGACTGTGTTTTTGCATGCTGGTGCATAAAAGCTTTGGAGTTTCTAATTACGGGGGCTGCACGCTTCGATATGTCCTCATATGTGGGTCTGCTTTGTTTAATCTGATGCTTGTTTTGTGACTATGATCTGAAAGCTTGTGTGTGCCCGATGCGAATACCTGGTTGTTCGATTATCTTACTTGCTTGAATCTCTGTCAATGCTCTGTTATGATGTGTGTGAGGTGCTAAAATCCTCTGTGTTTTCAGGGAGACAGCGGCGGGCCTTTTGTGGCAGAGGACTGCCTGTCTAAGACCAGGCGGTATCGTCTGCTGGGCGTGGTGAGCTGGGGAATAGGCTGTGCCATGGCCAAGAAACCTGGCGTCTACACCAGAATCTCCCGATTTCTGCCCTGGATATCTACGGCCATGAGGGTGAGAACCTGGACTCTTATTTTATTGTTATTGTGACACCGTTTGTATTCAATTGTGTTGTCACAACGCTTCAATGCACAACCAAGGAAGTAGGGATAGCTGAGCCTCCACCACCAAGTGAATCGACTGCCACTAACTACAGAAACAGAACAGTAACTTTCCATTCAATTTATCTATAAATCACTTAACAAGAAAGTTTGTCTTCACACACACAAAACATGTAATCCTTAATCCAAATTAAGGAAAGAAAATGTCTTTATGAAGTGCTGTGCCACCACCAAATACACACACGTTTACGTTACATGCATGCTTCAAGATTGGTGTTGAAGTTTTAGTCGTCTACATCTTTAAATGTCTTCTCGTGACATTACAGATGTGCTTAACAGTTCCTGCTCTCATCTCTCCCCTCCAGAACTATCACAACTCACCGGGCCTTCACAAAATGGCGCGGACATGAGATTCCTGCTCCCATGTTTCCACTTTTTCTACTCTTGGATGACAACATTAAAAGACCTGGAAGACGTCAACAGGGGGCAGTTGGACGGAGGGATGAAAGTCTGTCACGGTTCCAGATTCTCCTTCTTATCTAAAGCTTTTTTTATATTTAGGATTAACTTCTTCCTGAACTTTCCCACATTGTTAAATGCCCACCAAGACCATGCTCCTTAATAGATTTCCGGTATCTAAAACACACAGACAGAGCTCTTAAAGAAACATGACGTTTTAAACAGATCAGCAAAGAGTTATTGAAGTTGACTAACATTGTTCTCATGAAGTAAAATATTGATAAATATAAAATTCCCTATACTGGATTTAAGATACCAGTTTTGTAAAATAAAATGAGATGAAGTCAAGTTAGAAATAACCACTATAACTTGTGAGCTAAACAGCAATATGTTGAATTGAGACTTACAAAGGCTCAGGTTCATCTTGAGAATTGTTGATGAAATTACAGGGATTCATACAATAAGACACTTAATTCCTTTAGAGGTTTTAACTTGTTCCACATGAGTCACTTAGTCCAGTGCCAGACGTCCTGCTGCCAGCGTGCACAGCAAGCTACAATGAGTGCAGACGGCACTGTTGATTTGTAATAAAGATCAGTCAAGATCTTGTACTTTTACATTGTGCAACACTCAGACGCAGGCACACACACACACACACACACACACACACACCATCTAAAATGTCAGTAATTTATGAGTAATGCTAATGAGTAGCTAAAACATTTCCTGGTGAGCTTTATTTCGTAAAATCACAGCACACAAACTTTTCACGTCGTAAGAATCTAATTTTATATGTAACTTTTACTTGTGGGATTTTTTTATATACTTTTGTATGAAAAACAATTATTCATTCAAGGTCCGTCTTCATCAAAGCCCCACATGAACTGGTGAAGATGACGCTTGTATTGAAATCAGTATTTTTGTTATCGCCTTGTAAATATTAGTCAATGTCTTGTTTGTGTAGATGTTTATTTGATGCTTATTGATTACCAGATTTTAAATGCTGACGATGTCCCATGATATTAACTGTGTATGCTCATGATCTTCCATGACCAATGTATAGTATTATATACTAAAACTCCCTCTCTGCTCCTAGAGTCATATTCAGCATAAACCACAACAAAGCGATACACTATGTTTTAGATTAGATAGATTTGATTACTTGTATTGTTCAGATTCCAGTGGCATCGGGACACAAAGTGTTGCTATAGTTTATTTTAATGGACATTAAAAGGAGAGACAAACACAAAGAAAAAATAATCTACGGTCAAATGCAAAGTATCTGCACTCTGGATTAAATCTCTCAAGACTCCACTAGACTGTAAATAGGAAGTGTTTTGACCCAATCTGTGGCCAACATGACAGAATATATATACAACAGTATATCAAATACAACCTTCGAGATACATTATCAAAAATATAATGCATCATTTCACTACTGTAGTCACCAAATCTGTATCCTGCACCCGGCCATAAGCAAGGCTCGGATGGGAACACAAGTGTAAAATCCTTTCTGCCACTGATTGTTAGCTCTTGACTCAAAATCATTTTTTTTGCATCCATAAAATCCCAAACTACTCACCACCAGTTCACCCTCTGAAATACAGTTAATGCATGTACATTCATGACATTTATGATGTGTGCAAGATAAATAAATGTTCTAAATGTAAATTGTTGCATTGGCTATTGTATTGAAATGATAACAACTTACCCACAGTCATTGTGTAATGATATCACAGTTTATTTATACATCTTTAATACTAACTGTAAAGACTGCAGTCAAAAATAATCATACTGGAATAAACGGTAACCTACACACTACAGGAAGAAGAAAAAAAACAGAAATCTGAGCATTGGTGCTCAGTATAACTGTACAAAGTGGAAAAAACAAAAACCCTTGCTAAGACATTCATACAAATACAACAAAATAGATGCCCTAAGGTCTCTATTCAACCCTCCTGAGAGACTGAGCTTTGAACCACATGACACACAGCATAGGATTCTTAATGATGATGATGAAACTTCACTCAAAGGAGTGAAAGGTTTCCGTCAAACTCAGCTGGATTCAGCCAGCAAAGCGTAGATCACGGAGTCGTCATTCTCTCCAGCTTTGGAGCTGAGGAGGACATTTTGCTATTAGTGACTTTTTACTAAAGTGCAGCCTGTGAATGCCCTGATGGTGACATGCTGATAGCAGCATTGATGCCTTACATACAGATGCTTCCGCTAAGCATTATTCTGTATCCATAAACTCTTTTTATTACTGCACAGAATATCAGTAGGGAGTTTGATGGTGCTTTCAGATGGAATGTGAAGCAAATTCAGTCTGATTCAGTCGGGGTGTGATGGCATATAGAGTCAATGCAAAGATGTGAGGGAATCGAATTTGTGCTCATCTGGGATGCTAATTGGGACAAATCATTAAAACTTTGAGAAGAAAATCTGCACTAATCCCAAATGATTTCACTTTTTTGACATTTCTTTGGTCAGTTAGGTTGTAGGTCCTAGTTTTCAACAATGGGAATTTTTCATTTTTCTCTGTGAAGGTCAAAGGTCAAAGTGTTTGTTTTTTTTAAACATAATTTGTATGTCTTCTTTTGTATCGTTAACCCGACGCATATAAACTTCACTTGGCCGTCTGTGAGTAATGTGATCAGGTCAATGTTTGGACAGTGAACCTACCAGGAGTTGTACACGTGATGTGGAGGACTGGGCTTTCTGGGTGTAATGGTCACTGTCGAGTAGCAAACCTCATCTTCATACGATGCGGGAGCCTGAGTGGAGAGGAGACAAGTCACAACAAAACTCAGATCAAGTTTTCTGCTAAACGATCCTATTACTTCTCTTTATTTTTGGGAAGTTCAGTTCATAAGTTTCGGTTCTAAATAAATTTGATATTATGGAAACACCACAAAAAAACAGATATCTCACTTCTTTAAATATTTGTCGGGACTCTTGCTAAAGCACAGAACATTTTTAACGTCCCCCATAAAAAGTTCTCCTTTGTCTGTGCTACTAGTTGTGAGTTTAAGAGGGAACTTACAATCCAGTTTATCCAGAATCATTTAATGGCTTATATTACATTTTTTTTCTGTTTACCCTCTATTCAACCAGGCGAGTCATTAAGAAAAATTCTTATTTACATATCTATAATAGCGGCCTGGTAAATATATTAGATGTACTCACTTTTTTCTTTGCATGGCTCCTCTTTTTTAGCCTACCAAGACAACAAAAACAAGATAAAAATCATTGATATCACTCCACTTAGAACTTCCTTAATTGTTTCTCAATCTTTAATGTGACATTTTAAGGAAGTTGTTCTAAAAGGATGGGAAATCCAGCAGCTTGCTACTTCTATAGACTGCTGCTCAGTACAAACAGATTGACCATCCCATTGTTTTCACTGCGTGAGATATAAGCTGTAGAAAATTACAAGTGTATTGAAAACAAATAGCTTTTAAGGATTTTTTAAATCTAAGACAGTAGCTCATGATCATACTGTATGTCTCTTTGCATACAGTCACAAATTATATCAAATTCTGCATCTCATATCTTGAGTAGACATTGAAAGTTTTAACCCCTTACTAAAGATCATCATTCAGTAGATGTAGGTGATACACATTAAAAAAAAAGTTACACAACAAAAGAGAAAACTAACAATAAAAATTAAATGAGTCATTCAGTCACACTTAAACATTCAGTGACTCACCAGAGCCAAAGAAGAGATGTCACAAAAACAGAGACTCCTATTCCAGCTAAGATTTTGAGGGAGTGGCGACCTGTGAAGAAACACACTCTAAGGTTAGATTACTGTTGGTGGTTTGAAAAACTAAGCACTGCTGCCACTAACGAATGCAAAATTTAGATGACATTTCTAGACGAACAAAGCAGCCGTAGAAGATACATATGATACTAACCACGGCCCTTTTTCTTCATGGCGAGCAACACCTCGGTTGAGTTGTTTTCTCCCAGTCGGTTGCTGGCCTGGCAGAGGTAGAGTCCAGTGTGGGACGCCTCCACAGAAGGGAGAGACAGCACCTGTCCTGACCCCACCTGGAGCAGGGAGCTGAAACTGGAACCAGCACTGCTGTACCAGGTGTAGTTGTCTGCTGCAGGGTTAGCAGCACTGCTGCAGGTCAGATTCACACTGCTGCCCTCAACAACATGTGGCGGGTCCATTGAAATAGAAATGTTTTCTGGACGGTCTGAAAAAAGAGGAATCAAAATTGCTCTCACAATGCCAGAAACGAAGATAATCTACTAGAGCAGTGGTTTTCCACCCTGGGGGATAAATGTGAGGGGTCACACGATGATTAAAGGAATTCAAATTATAACTGAAAATTTAAAACAGAAAAATAGGTTTTTCACCCTAGATTTTTCTCTTATTTTTGTGATTTTCTTTGGAAATACTGGATATGTACACCTCTAAAAGTCATTCAAATGAAACGATCTAAGATGGAAAACAAATCCCTGAACGTCACACCAAGGCCATAACCTGGGGGGAGGGGTCACACATGCTTCATTTTAAGGGGTCACAGGCCTGAAAGATCAGCAACCAATGAAATTAAAATGTAATAATCATTAGATTATATGCACTTGTCATATATATCTTAGTTTTATAGACTGAATTGTAGCTCTGTCCCTCCTCTCCAGACACATTTCTAGTTCTCTAAATTAAACCATGTCCAGATGTTTATCGTACTTTCCCTCCTTTCTCCATCACGTGACTGCCACACCCATCCACACACCTGTTCCCACTTTCCCTAATCAGCTCTGCCTGGCCATTCTGGCTCACCTGCATCTCATTCCCTCATCAGCCACACTGCACATATACCCTTTGAACTGTTGTCAGTTCATCAGAGCCGTGTGCTTTCTGCCTGTTGTGTGCCGTGACAAAAAGTCAAGAATGTTTTTGGGAGATTATCTCTAACTTGATATGAGTATTTTGTGAAATATATAGTATTTTAAATCTGGTACATCTCTTTAAATTCTTTCCCCTTATAAGGTGATAGTCAGATCGATGGAGTATGTTTTACTGTATAAAGATAAATCAGTATGAATATTTCATCCGCACTCCTCTCTCCCTGAGCTTTTCACGCACCCTGACAACAGACCCACAGATAGACTGGAGCTTTGAACTGACTGTTGTATTGTACTTCTCCTTTCAAAGGTGATTTTCTTTTTTTACACCTCTCGAACGCAGCATGAGAACTATGCAAGCGTCTATCCACAACAACACGGGTTTCTGTAACAAATTCAAACGCGTACATTTGAAACCAGACACCTCAACACACTTACACTGGACGTCAAGATGAACCTCAGTAGAGTTAATCGGGTCGATGCCCCTCCGGCTGATATTATTCCAGGCCTCACAGTAGTACAGTCCACTGTGGGCGGGCTGGAGGTCAGAGATGGTGTGATTCTGCCCAGAACTGATAAAGTGTCCATCTTTGTACAGGCTGTATCCACTTTGTGTCACAGGTGGGTTGGCATCGCTGCTACAGGTGAGAGTCGCCCAGCTTCCTTTGACGGCTGATGGACTCATTGACAGCGTGATATTACTTGGAGCGTCTGATCGACAGGAGATTAACAGAGTTAATGAATAAACCAGTGAATCACAATGAAAAATGGGGATGTGAGTATGTCACTGCATAGAGCAAAGATATTTCTAGTCATTTCTTCTTTCTAATTGGAGGTTAGTGGTTAGGAGGTGCCAAAAGCACATTTGTTTTTCCTGTCATCTTTCATCTACACCAGACAGCCAAATCATCAAAGTATTTAGCCTGACTTTTAGACTTCGACACAGGATCATTGCATTGTTATTCATGTACTTACATTGAACATTCAGAGCCACGGAGGCAGATCTGGCCGTCTCTTGTCCCAGGACGGCACAGTAGTACCTCCCAGCATGCTCTCTCTCTGCCTGGAAGACTGGATTTGGTACAGTTTGTCCATCTCTGAACCAGACAATGTTTATAGGTGCAAGGCAACCTGACACGCAGGTCAGGCTGACATTGCCTCCCTCTGTCACAGTGCTCGGCTGCACAGCGGAGGTCAACTCTGAATCGGAAACGGAAGCAGAAACTGATTAATTTCACTAAAAGAAACATAATTCTCGAGGAGGTCTCCTCTTTCCGTTATTGAGTTATTACCTCTTACGGACAAATGAGCGGGTGTTGGTCTTTTCCATCTGTTGAGTGTTGTCACAAAACTGAAAAAGTATTCTCCTTCATCGGTGTGTTGAACGTCATTGACCGTCAGACTACAGTCACCCCGGTAGTTACCCACATACATAAAGTGGTTTGGAGGTGAAGCGAGTTGTGAAAGGAGAAACTTCTTCCACTCGCCAGCTACATACTGGGCTTTAGACCAGCTAACTGCAGTGACAATATGACCCCAAGGATAGTCATACTCGCATTTAATAACTACTGATGTCCCCTTCAAAGCACACTGATCTCCGTAGGTCACCCTCCAGTCTCCACTCAAGACACCTTTTAAACAAAAATTTAAAAAAAGGCAGAGTCAGTTAAATTTAGCTGTAGCTATATTTCCCCACAGGATTTGGTAATCCATAAAATACTTCAATTAACTGATATGAAGCGTATTAATTTGTTTTAAAAGTTCAAAGCAGCAGTTGCATTATCATTTCATTGCAGATACCACCTTTTCAATACATTAATTTAAAAATAAATTAAAAAGTGTACCTTACCTGGTACTGTCACCAGAATAATCAGAATCAAACGCTCCATTGTTAACATCAGCTGCAACATCAGCACACAGTTTAATATACAGTCTTTACAGCAGAGAACATAAGAACACATCTGTGCATATTAAAGTTAATAGTGAAAAGCAGAAGTAGGAAGGTGTCCCCACCCTAGTTCCTCTCTTCATACAGTCAGCACATTCTGATTGCTCATTATATAAAGTTAGAAAGCCTCACATAGTATGATCAGAGTCTGAACACAAAAACAGACACACAGGATGGGCGGAAACAAGACTGTGACAATAGATGCATTGGTTATACACCACGCTATTGAGAGACAAGCATCGAGCAGAGCACATGCAGCATCTGCAGTCTCTGTCACCATGTGTCTCCACATGTGGCTGAGTTTCTTTCAAATCTAGCAAACAGGAAACAGAGGTCATTGCAGTACAACAGAGCTTTCTCCGTGTGGCCAACATGTCAAAAACAGCTGGCCTCACATCGCCAACATGATCTATCCTTCTTGTCCACATGGTGGTGTTACTGGACCGTGCACCGATGTCGGCGATGCAATCCACGGTAAACACATCGTTTTTTGCCATTAGTATGACTTTCTATGGTCTTAACTTTAAGCACATTATCCCACACAAATATCCCCACTGCATCTCGACACCAGGAGAGGAAATGTCACAAAAAGAGCGTGATAGTGACACATTTATTGCACCAAACAGTTCCTCTGCACCAGTAGAGAGCAAGATTTCAGGAAGGAAAAAGTGAAAGCTTTAGTAACCGATAGGGATGTTGAGTGATTTGTATTGCAAAAAAAAGTGGAAGTTTGAAGTATTTTGTGTTTTTTCTTATTGTCAGCTTTAACCAGCAGCCCTGACGCCAGTATATCATTTCAAAATGGCCAAAATGTAGCGGTGAGCAGCAACTCCAGCTTAAGCTGATCAGTGTTTTTAGTGCAAACAATAGTGCAATCCACTGCCCCACATTTACAATTAGTGATGAAATAGTTAATCACACAACAAATGTGTAGAATGAATCTCATTGGCTGAATTTACTCCAAAAGTGACACACTTTGTCTCTCTGCCCCTCCTCTGCAGACACTCTTCTAGTTCCACAAATCAAACCATTATCATTTCACGTCCGTCCACCTGATGTCCTGTACTTTCCCAACTGTTTCCCACCACACCCATCCGCACACCTATTCCCACTTCCCTAATCAGCTCTGCCTGGCCTTCCCCGCTCACCTGTGTCTCATTCCCTCGTCAGCCACACTGCACAAAACACATTTCACTCTCACTAGCAAAACAAACAGCAAAAGAAAGACAAAAGATAGAGATTTTTATTTTATTTCATTTTATTTCATTTCATTTCATTTTATTTCATTTTATTTTATTTTATACACAACTTAGCAACGTGCTGTGGCTTCACAGGATAAAAAGAGTGTGTATGCGGATGTTCTTGATAAAATGTCTTTGCCACCATGTTTTTTGTTGTTGTTAGCAATGCTTGCTAAACAACCAATCCTGGTTCTCTGTCAGAACTCCATGTCTCATTTTACATCTTCATACCAAAACAGATCAGATACAGATCACTGTAAGTCACTTTTACTGAAATGAAAGAAGCTATTGAGTTAACCTAAGTGTGGTGGATTTTAAAGTCTGTGCGATGCTTTCCACAAAGACTGAAACATTCTTTAATTCTGTGAGAAAAAAAACAAAATCATTTTTAATGAAATGAAATGTAATCTTCCTGCTGACGACACTCTCCTCATTCTAACCCTTTTGTTATTCAGTCGCTGTTCATTGATTGTGAGCTGCAGAGATTGCAACATACATTAAAGCTACAAGATTTGGTGGTTATATTTTTATTCAGTGTAACCAACCACAGCATGTCATTTTGCATTGTTGCTGGCTCTGCTCACTCTACATAAGAATGGAGAGACTGATTTAATGGAAGCAAGCTATGTCAACTGAATAAATGTTGCAGCATCAGCAATAAAAAATAAGCTTTTTAAAAACAATTTAGCACATTGTTGTGTGTCAAATATTGCATACACTTTATAGATAGCATCATTCGTATCGGAGACAATCGTGTTTTATTAAAACGGTTATCACTTTTGCAAGATGAGAGGATGCAAAATATGCTGTTGCAACCACTCACACTGTAATCTACATTTATTTGTACTTCAGTGTCAGCTATATCAACTAAAGAGCAGCAGTAGATTCAGCCTGTACTGTGGATATGGATGCAAGCAAAATGGCCAACGGGGTGTTATTTCAGGCAGCACACAGTTGTAAGATGCATAGAATAAAAAAAGGGAAAGACATGCAACACAGTTTAGGCGCTGGACTTGCAGTCAGCACCACACGTTGTCCTCGCGGTCTGGTGGAGAATCCATAACGACATGTCCGACCCAGAGCGGCATAAGGCATCGTCAGAGTTCACGAGGAGTCGTTTCCTGTCCTACGATGTGATTGGAAGTAAAGCGATTGGTTCACATGAGGAAGACTGATTTGTTGTTCAGCTGAGGAAGAAGATGGGAAAGGACAGTTATTCGTGCATGCATGGTTTTGGTTGTTGCACCACTGAGTCTCTTTATATTTGGTACATTGTCAAGATAAACAAGTAAAGTCTGAGTGTTAAACTTGTTTTTTATCCTTTTGTGTGGTTTTTAATTTTATTTCAGGGACACAACTTTGTCTTAATAATGTAAAACAATCATGCTGTGTCCAACTGTATGTGAGTTGATCACAGTACTGACACATGTATATAATCTATAAAGGGATGTAGGGACCATTTCAAGTAAAACATACGCAAAACACAACTGGACATGAGTGTACCTCTGAGGTTTGAAAAGTGTCATACCTGATTTGTCTCCCGGTCAGTGGCGAGGCTGGTGCAGTAAAGTGTAAACAACTTTGGAGGAATCCATCGGCTTTTTATCGCCACCCAGTGGCAGGTTGTGGACCTGCACCTGGTCCACACTGAACCAACAACAAACAGCAACCATGTGAGTCTATCTGGACATCTGACTCTGATCATGAAAGCAGGTCTTCATTTTGCTCCAGAACCATTAAAATGTTTTACGTGTCCAAAACTGGGATGAGAAATTCATTGTCCTCTCATAAACGGGAGGAAGGTGTTGGATATCACAGAGGAAAGAGAGGAAAAACAGAGGGAAGTGTAGGGAGAAATAGAGAGAGGGCGATGACAGGAAGATGGAGAAGAAAGCAAGAGGACCAATGTGCTTGTAAAATATAATGCTGGACATGAAACAGTAGATTGTTGCTGTGGTCAAAATGAAAAAAGAAAAAAATGAAAGAGGGAAAGTGAAATAGACAGAGAGATAGAGAGAGAGATGTAGTCCAGAGGACGGACATAGAGGAAGAAGGTGTGTACCTGGACAACTTGGAGTGGTGGACAGTGGTGTAGTTGGCGGCGGGGCTTTGAGTTTCAACTTCTGTGATCGGTGGAGCATCTTTCAGAGGAACAATGGCAGGGTGGGTGCTGTCACTCAAGTCCTCTGGCTCCTCCTGCGCGCACAAACACACACACACACACATACACACACATCAAAAAGTTAATATCATTTGTTTTATATTGTCATTCAATCAGTCCTCAAGGTGTGTACTGTAATTGAGTTGCGTACCGGTATGTCGGACATCTTGCCCTCTTTCACTGGAAAGGTTTGTTGGGTTGACTCATAGAACATGGTGTCAGCTGTCACTGACGGACGCTGGGGTCATACACACACACACACACACACACCAGACATACACACACGCAGAGAGAGAGAGAGAGAGAGAGAAAGAGAGAGAGAGAGAATAAGACAAAGTGTAAAACAGAGCATTGTTTTTAATTTAAGAGTGAAAAATGACAACGGTACATCATTGAAACTATCCTCACTGAGGTTTTCCGTTTATAAGTACTAAAAGTTTAGTTAAACAATAACTGAAGATACAGAGTAAATTTAAAACAAGTTAAAGATAATAAGTACTGCACCTTGTTTGCTACTTCTCCTGACTCCGTGTCTACTCTGTGCATGTTCTTACTGTGAAGACATAGGGACAATATTATCAAACCATACACAGGTGATGACTAATACCACAAGTAATCCAAGTAAACCATGAACCTGGCTGTTTTCTTTTTTATATATTAATGATGTGTACATCAATGGCAGTGAGTAAATGGCAGTGTACTTCCTGTCACCTGATCATAATGGCCACTGTGAGAGTGATGAGTCCAGCAGACACTCCTACTGCTGACGCCAAGGCAATGACCTTAAGACGACCTGCCAGCGGGAGGATGATAGAGGTTATCGACATGACCAGAAACAAGAAGTAATGAAAATAGAAGTGCAATAGATATCAAAATAGAAGCAGCGAAAGTGCGGAATGGGCAGAGAGCTGTGCATCATCTTGCAGGTGTCTAGACTTGAGACTTGTGTTTCCAGCTCTGATTTCCAAACCAAACTCCACTTCTTCATCTGTCTAGACTCTCAAATATTAGTTTTCCACAACACCTCACCCCCCCTCCTCTCCCCTCATAGTGAGAGCGCTACACATGACTCACCATGACTCATACAGAAAAACAGTCCGAAACCGTACACAACGAAGACTGGGGCCCGGACCTCATGCTGCGATAGTGACAGGAAGTCTTTCGTCACTTTTCGAAACACAGAAACCTTTCCAACCATCCGTCAGAGAAACAAACTGTTTCTGGGTCATTGTCTGAGATAATCAGAAACATAGATGTACTAAAAACGGGACAGGGGTGTTTCACTAAGCTCATCGGTGACACCTCATCTCTTCCATTACACTTCTAAAAGTGACAACGGCCTGCACAATGACTCAGAACATACATGACCAGGATGAGCCGCTAAAAGCCTTCAGAGTGTGAATGTAACTCTGACACCACAACACATTGAAAAGCACCACATTAAAAAAAATCCATTGTAACGTTTCTTTGTCAAAGGTTGTCATGGTATTAAAGAGCTCACTGCTTGAAGCAATTCATTTGCTGGTGTACCCAATGTTATTTCCAAGAAAGAAATATTCTAGTGCACAGAAAGTCTAGCCCTGCTAGTAGCTCTGTGAGGCTGTATATGGGACATATTTGGGCACATTTTGAGCTAAATGCTAGAAGAAAAGTGAGTGGAGGCTTCATCTTCTGGAGAACATGAATGGGTTTACAAGAGATCAAGGAAATCCACCTGAGATTTGCAGAGATATTTCACTTTAGAGCTGTACTAACAAACACAAAATGCTTCTATGTTGTTTTGATAAAACACAGACAGACAAGCTAAAGACAAAGAAGTGTTTGTGCGTGAATCATTATGTACCTCTGACTCGCACAGTGAGGACAGGAGAGCTGTGGGCTCCGATTCGATTCCTGGCCTCGCAGTAGTACTGTCCGCTCTCTCTAGGGCCGACCTCCGAGAAGGTGAAGACAGGACCGGACTTGCTGCCCCACGCTGCATGGAGCACAGAAAGGGAGAAGATCCACTTACTGTTTCAGATAGTGTTGGAGGATCCGAACCAACAGAGGCACACAGAGCACGACACCTTACTGACTACGAAAGTTTAGAGTTAGGTATTGATGATTTGGTAATGTTAACCTTGAGCGGAACCACATTTTTACGATGCTAACATTGTACAGAGCCCCCGTCCAGAGCTAAGCGGTGCCATGTGAAGTTGTCCACTGCCGGGTTGGCCTGACTGCTGCAGGTTAAGGTCAAAGGTCGGCCAGCATCCACCACGCTGGAGGGACGAGCTAGAACTGATGTGTTCTTAGGAGGGTCTGGAGAGAGAGCAACAGAAACATAGATGCAGAGGGTTAGGGAAGGTTTTTGTCTTGTAAATGATGCTGTCCAAAGAGACAGAGAAGAGGTGGAAACACAGATAGGTTGAGAGGGAGAGAAACTTCATAACTTTGAGTAATTGAAGTGTAGAGGAGAGGAGACGTGTCAGAGCATCTGACACATTCTTTCCAACACTGTCACTGAGCAGCATGTCCACAGATGAATGTTTATAACAAACAGACAAACCTATAGCCCTGATTAAAGGAAGATCTCAATCCAGAAAACTCTCAAACATGTCTCTCACACACACACACACACACACACACACACACACACACACCACTACTTACAAAGTATAGTGAGTGTAGCGACAGGGGAGGTGTGGTATCCGAACTGGTTCCACGCTTTGCAGTAGTACTGACCAGCATGGTGAGCACGCGCCGAGGAGAACGTCAGGTTCTGGAAGGTTCCTTTAGCCAACACCTGGTCACCTAGGATACGATACCAAGCATACCTGCAGGAGGGAGGATGTTGAAGATGATGATGATAATGATGATGAAGATGATGATGATGATGGTGATGAAAATGATTATAGGACTGGACAATTTGCAATAATTATACTTGGAACTTCCTATCCGTTCCTTACATTATTAACATTGGATTTTACATAGGTGAGTATTTATTAATATTTAAAAGGGTTTTGTACATATTGCCCAGTCCTTATTTACAACTCCTTGAAGAAAAGTGAAAGTCTGAATTAAAAAAAGTCGAGAAATAAGATAGAAAAAGAGAACATTTCAAGATGACAATGACAAATGCAAAAATCATGATAATGATGACAAAAACAGCATCACCGTCATGTATTAGTTGGTATAAATGAATGAACCTGGAGGAGAAGTATTCGTCATACCTGCTGGCAGGTGGGTGGGCGTGGCTGACACAGCTCATGGTCACATAGGAGCCTTCTCTGATGTCAGCTGGAGGACTCAGCAGCACACGCGTGTTCTTTGGAGAGTCTAAACAGGCAGAGAGAAAAACAGGAGCATCTTTACTGTCATGATCATGTTTTTATTCGACACCTTCAAGTAACAGCAGCTTCTCAAAGAAGAATGTCGAATGAAATGTTTTAGTTTGAGGTATGAAGGAAAGTAGTCGTATAAGCAGGACCAGAGTCAGGAAAAAAACACAGTATAATCAATCATCAAATAACAGAACCAGTGAATGTTTGACATTTCTGCTTGAAAGACTGACTACAACATTATTGCATGTTAAAATGTCTGTCAACTGACTAATCAATTGATTTATGAATCATTTCAGCTCTACTGCATTTTGATGAATATTCTTAGAAACAAAAGTAAAATTATAAACATTCAGCACTTTGAGTTTGTTTCACTTCCTACTGAATCCATATCATACACTGTACGATTCCCATTAGAGTGTAAAATAGAGTTGTTGCCTCATCAGTTTCACCCAGACTAACCTCGGACAGATTTACACAACAGGACCTAAGATAGACACATACAACCAGACGTAACATGGGTTTACAAAGGTCTTTTTCTCTCAAAATGTAATTCTGATCTAAGTATAGTTTTGACCTGTGCGACAGTTTGAAGTGGGTCAAAGATGCCGTGCCTGTGACTACAATGCAGACACCCAACAAACTTACACGTGACATTGAGTAGAAGTGGTTTGGAGCGGTCTGTTCCCAGTGAGTTGCGTGCTACACAGAAGTACTCTCCTCTGTCCGTGTATTTGAGGTGGGACAGGCGGAGCCGAGGCCTAAAACTGTCTGGGATGCTGCCACTCTCCATGTCTGGAGAGCAGATAGAGACATAGGTGCAGATTAGTGCAGCAATTCACATTAGGAGCATGATCTTGAGACTATGAAATATATATGTATATATATCTTTTCTTCAAAGGTCCTGCAATCCCACAGGAAAACTTCCAAAACATCAGCTCTTCATTAGTGTCCAAGAAAGACTTGATCTTACTCTGCTTTAACAACTCATTTAAGGACCTTCACTTGTCCAAGTGCAGAGCAAATTTGACATTACAGCATGTGTCACTGCCATCAACCTGTTAGCTCAGTGAATTCCTACACTGTCCTGTCATTGTATGCTGTGTATTGGTGAACACGCACTGTCATGTACCTTTGAACCATGCAAAGCTCTCTACAGGCGGAGCTGCGTCACTACTGCACGTAAGAGTGACCGACCCCCCCTCTGAAACCTCCCCCACGGGGAAGACCGCTATGGAGGTGAAGCTGGGACCGTCTGGACGGGAGGAGAGTAAAAAAAAGGAGGTCGAGAAAAGAGCAATGTATGAGGAAGTAACAAGGACGAAGAGGACAGAAAAAAATGGAGGGTGGAGATGAGATCATGCAAAATATAAGTGCATTTCAGTAATTTAACATCCATCAAGGCCAATAGCAGGTGTTTACAGTCTCGGATCACAGCCTGCCACAGCAGAATTGTTAAAATACAAGTTTTATCTACTTGTTTATCTGAGTTGTGTCTCAAAATGCTTGTGTCCGACTGGTTTGCGGTGCACCCTCTGAAAGCACGTCTATGAGCAGGTATTGTGAAAACTGTTAGTTGGCTTGATTGAGATTACTCACGCCCCAGAGCCAGCGAGACGGATGGAGACTGTACGTTCTGTGGTGGGATTGGTCGACAGGCGTATGCTCCAGCATGCTCCTGGTCAAAGCGGTTGATGATCATCCATTTCTCGTAGGAGCCGAGGTTCAGTCCGTTCCTGTGAGCAGAGCATCATATCTACAGTGTGCATGTGATCCACTCTCTGGTCGACCAATAAAACAATGACTTGTACAACACACCTGTACAGTGCAAGGCTCCTCCCTGGAGCAGCACATCCTCTGGCCTGGCAGCCTACAAACACAGTCTCTCCGAAGCCAAACATGTTGGCGGGCCTTGCTGGATGCACCTGGACCTGGAGGTCTGAAATACAAACGGACATTGACACATGCACTGGGACAGGGGCTGGATGAGTCCAGTGCAGCTTTTGTTTGTATGAACTTACCTGTTACATCCAGAGTGATGGTGTTCGGGGAGGTCCACCTCCCCAGTGGTTGGTCTGTCTCAAACCTGAAGTGGTACTGGCCTGCATCACTCAGCTTGACAACCCGAATCTGGACTGAACAGCTGGAGTAGCTGCCTCCGATGTAGCTGGAAGCCACGGTTCATGTGTCACACATTTGTGCATTATTTCACATTTACGAAATGTACAGCTCTTGATAAATCACTGTACGTTTCTCCTACCGGGTGCGTCCGCGGTACGACAGGCTGATCTCGTTGGGGTCAGTGTGGTGAGCGAACTCCCTGCGACCTTCTGCAGACACACGGAACCACATGACCCGCTTCACATTGTGACCTGTGAAGTTAAAGAAAACCACAAAAAGAAATTGAAGGGGAAAGAAAAGTTGCGTTTTTGAGCTCACTTTAGTTGCTTGGAAGTTGGACACATTTAGCATCCAGTTAATTTCATGGCTTTATTAATAATTATAGAAATAGACTTTTGGTCTTTCAAAATTGAATAAAGAAGTTTTGTACATGGATTTGATACCTGATGGGTAGTCATAACGGCAGGGCAGAGTGACGGTTGTTCCTGCCCACACACAGATCTCCCTCCTAGAAAAGGACACGCTCCACCTACTCTGAATACCTGCAGGACAATTTAACGGCACAAAAATGCAAAAACATTAACAGAAAAGCAAATGCTACAGTTGAAAGGAGGCAAACTAAAATGCACACACAATATGCACACCTAAATACTTCTGCAAAGCACAACGGGCTGATGGATGAAGAGCTTTTTCGTGTTTTTGGTCCTTTTATGAAGGACCAGTACACGGTTCCAAACATATACTGGCTGTCACATCCACAAAAAGACGCTTGCCATATAAAATAAGCTACTAAAGGGTTTAGGGAATACCCACTTGAAGACTGAAAGAGGTGTAAATTTCAACCACCCACAAGTAGAGGTTTTCCTTCAATGTGTCTCCTAAGAGAGAAACTTGTCAAACCGCAGCTCTGATCCGCTCAGAGAGTGACACATACAATTTGAAGCAGAGGAAATGAGCATTGATGTGCGGCTGTGGTGTCATCCTGTGCTGCTAACTGCCTGCCTGGCTGACTACCTTGCACAAAAGGCAATCAATACTTATAAATAACTTGAGCGTAAAGGCAAGGGCACCTGGCTGCAGGACCTTATGTGCATAATGGATCCTATAAGTCATTCATTTCTCAACTGTTGTCACATATTTTAAAGCATATGCGACACATTTATGATATATCTGGAATACAATACAAATATATGTTTATTATGAAGCATGCTAGTTTATCTCTCCTTCCCTTAAATGATAAGAATATACTTATTAAAACGCTGTTAGGTTTTACACCTCATGATGAATAAAAAAAGAGTTTCTGATGTGTTTTTGTGTTTTTCTCTTACCTGGTAAAGCTGTAAGGATGGTGCCCAGAACTAACGCACCTGCCAACATCTCCGCTGACACGAACTCTGTAATGTCACCGGAGAAGGAGAAAAGCACAGGGAGGTGAGAAAAACAAGGAAAAACACCATCCAGCTGATTAAATGCGAAGCACTAACCCCCTTAAAGTATCTTCAGTCAGACAGAACAGGGTTTGAGGGATGCGTACGACTCCAACAGTGATGGAGGTGAGCTCTTCGACCGAGGAGAGTTTCATGGCGATCAGAAGCGGGGGATTGGAGATGGGAGGAGGAGGGGAATGGGCAGAAGGACGAGCAAGAGGAAGTAACCTCAACTACCTTCCTTTATTCAATCCTTTAAACTTTTCAGTGATTCTATTTGTGTTTATTCTTTCCACTCCGACGTTGTCACAATACAAATTTTGACCATCGTGATTGAGTGATTGTTAAAAAGACAAACATGTATGGTTCATTTGCAAAATGAATTCAGGCCTGTTGGCGTACATTAGTATACATAAGTCAAGCCGACATAGACTCGACAGCCCAGATGTCCTCTCATCCACTGCTCTAATTGAGAACTGTTGGCACAGAAAACCGCCCACAACCAGACGTGAGGAGGTTCGAGACCTCTCAGTCAACTGTGTCCACTTAGCCTGATGAGTCTAAATGACTTTAACATCCCACCCTGCCACAACTTGGCCAATGGACGTCAGTTTAGCATCACGACTCGGCCAATTGGCTACTTACCCCAGCTTTGACCCAGGAGTAATGATGATGTACAGTTTAACTTTTCAGTCAATCTCTATTCACAGTCATCCAAGTCAAGGAAGGAAGACAGAGTTAGACTTTCAGGTCTCAGAGATGATATCTTGATCTACATCTGGAAATCAACGATGACGTTTTACTTATTAGCCGACTGATCAAAGATGATGGAGGGGGCAGCATAAGGGATCGGTGCTGATGTTAGGAAACACGGATGTGTATCCGGTTTAGAGTTTAGGATCAGCTGTTGCTCTTCACATAATTACTGCAGGGATATTTGAGGTGTCATTAAGTATAGTAGGTAAGACTATGTGGGTCCTGAAAAAGAAGAAAAGAAGTTCATGTTTTTGGCATTTTTGGTTTTATTTGATAGGCAGACATTAGCACAAGTACCCGGCTTAATCAAAACCCTGTATGTTGCAGTAAAGTGGTATGACTCGTAACCAATAGGCCATCAGGGCGCCCACTAAAACAATGTGATTTTGTTCAAAAGGTCTGCATTATGTTTAGTGGGGAATCTGAACTCGACTTTAACCCTAATAAGGAACAGAAACTCTCTGGTTGGGAAAGCCACCTTCAAAATATAATCGAAATCCTCAGGATGTGAAGTTAAATGAACAATATATTCCAGTTCACAGATTGCTAGGTTGGATTATGGGTTGGGACCCGAAATGGGTCGCAGGCTCTCTTCAAGTGGGTCTCCACATGACAGGAAAAGTTTGTATGATTTAATGATCCTGAATCCCAGGGAGAAAAAAAAAAAGTCATTTTGGGCTGTGGTAGAAACGTTTTTAAGAACCTTCCCCCTCCAATAGTCTGTATTATGTTGAGTAAGAAGAGTGGTGGGCTTTGAGCTTAACCTGTAACCACAGAATGACTTCAAAAGGATCACGGCACACTAATAGGTCAAAGCCTGATGTAATCTTAATCGAAAGCAGACCGGACTAAATGAATGAAGAGAAACAGATGGATGGAGCTAGATTAAGTGTGACTGACCACAAACAGAGAGAGAAAGAGGGTGAGAGAGGGAAGAATGAGAAAGTTTAAAGGGGAAGGTGGGAGAGGGGAGAGGGGAGAGGGGGGAAGAAAAAAAAGACACAAAAACACGATGAGGTAAGGTTGCTTTGGTCGGAAAAGAAAGAAAAGAGAGACGGGAGGTGAAGCCAGAGAAGCAGAGGAAGTTGAAAGGAAAAGGAGGAAGAAAGCATAAAAAGAGAGGGTAAGGTTTTAAAGAGTGTTAGGTTTGTCAGAGCAGAGAGAAAGAGGAAGAGAAATGGGGGAAAAAAGTGTGAGAGGGAGCAATAGACAAATGTATGACAGTGTATCCAACCCTCACGGTGGGGAAGGTATCCATCCATTGACCGCAGCCTCCAGGCCCGATGAAGTGTGACCGTCTGGTGGTCAGACTGGACCTGAAGATTTTCCGCTGTTGCAAAACACTTCCTGCCTGCTGTTTTCATGTAATGTGACCACTCACACGGTTTGCTCCCCCGCCATACTTTAAGTTGTACAATATGTTATTTCTATGTTATTCCTTTTTGCCCACAGATTAGACTCCTGGCTCTCCGGGCCCTCCAGCCTTGGACGGACTCCACCTAAGCAAATAATGATTCCACTGTCCAACATGTGTTAGTCTTCAAATTGAGTGGTGCTCTCCACGGGGGAAGTCTGGGCAAGAATGACGATGATCAGAGCTACAATCATATCTGACAAGGTGATATGTTGTTCCTGTGCTGTCTTTTAGGAGCTCCACGTGATGACATGATGAGCGGGATCCTTGCCAGGAGAATCATCGAACCAACGGGGAATAAAATAAAAGAAATGAAAAGAAACAGAAACAGAAAGAGAAATAGAAGGGGTTTCGTCTTTGTTAAACTTTATCAATAAAACACACAGTATTGAGCCACTCAGACACTTGACTTTCAAAAATAAGCCAAACCAAACACTTGATGCATTCTTAAAACTCTTAAATCTTTGAAACTTATTGGAGCTCTATTAAATTCACCCAGGCTTTGCTCATTCCTGTCCCATTCACAAACTCCGCTGCAGGGTCGGGTTTCTGCTCCTTGTCTGCCAGAGACTGTCTGTGGCTGCTGTGGTATTCCACGCTGAATGAGTCATGTCTGGTGGTTATTATGGGCAGGCGTTTGGCTCTCCCGTCTCTCACCCCGTCTAGTGGCAGCAGACAACATTACATCTTCTTTTGAGCCGCGTCCAACCGAGCTGACTAAGATCAGGTTCTCAGTTAACTAGGCTGGATGAGTTAAGGAGACATTCTTGGTTGGTGGTGTAAGAATACATTGATGTTTTAACGTTATGCTAGGTTGATTAATACCACTTTCTTGTTTTGAAATTAAAGCGGACGAGAACAATGAAGAATATACCTGATTTTAAAGGTGCGTATGTGGATATCAAAACGTCACCAGTGTGCTGACAGGCAATTTCAGGCTGCTATAGATGCCAAAACAAAATAAAGCAGTGCACCATTAACTTTAAAACTTAAAGCTTTAAACCAATAATACTTCAGGTGTTTGGTAGTCAAAGGCTAGCAGGTATCTATACTGTATGTCAGAGTCAATTACTCTGCCTGTTACCTTGGGGGAGGGGCTTAGAGGGACAAGCATTATTCAATCTGAAGATTGGTTTCTGTTTTACCAAACATACCTTGAGCAGCTTTACCTGAGCTGGTTGGAAAAAAGGTTCATATTTGATGGGCTAACTGACTACATGCTGGGAAAAGATTTAATCTAGCATGAAACCAACAGACTTGCCAAGCATAAACTATCCTATTTCTATTTAATTTCCGAAAATAAATGCTCTTCTTCCCTAAACGTAACTTCCTGTGAAGAACGGAGTTTATTTTAAAAGACACTCTGCATGTAATGAGTGGAAACTGACACTCCATTAATACTCCATTAATATTTAATTATTAAGAAAATGTAAGTGTTTTATTTGCCTAACCATAATGTCATAACATTGGCAGTAAACATTCAAACATATTATACAATCCAGTTTTTTCGGTTGTTTTTTTTGCTAAATCATCAATCATATCAACATTACGTCTGCCAAGTATGATGAACCGTTTCATTGGAAAGGTTTGATACACCCACAAACATCAGCTTCACACACAAAAACAACAGTTGATCTGTGTAGAATCATTGCTTTGGGTTCACAGACAGTAGATGTGAGGAAAAGAAGAGCACATTGTTCAACTCTACTGTCCACACTTTCCCAGCTGGGGATCTGGATCTTCAGAGGCACAAGCGACTCTCTGTCCGTCCGTCTGTCTGTCTCTCTTTCTGTCTCTCTGTCTTTCTTGTGTTCTCAGGTATGAGTAAAAGCACTTTCCTGGTTGAGACTGAGAGAGAACATGTGTGTTTTCTGTGTGAGTATGAGAGAGAGAGAGACAGTGTGTGTGTGTGTGTGTGTGTCTGCGATGGTTTTACCATGTGCAGGGTCCCTGTATGGGACTGGATGAAGTCGGATATGAGGGAACCTGTCAGGTCCGGGCTACTGTCGGAAACCCTCCTTCTATTACCTCCTCCTCCTCCTCCCCTTCATCCGCCTCTTCGTCCAACTTTTTACATCTGAAGATTGTACAAGACGCCCAGGTTGTATAAATTGTTGTTAAGTTAGTATGTTATGTATCATTTGAAAAAAAGAAAATCTCTGCAAAGACATGTTTAGCTGTGATATAGTAAGTCTTTAGAGTATGAGGTACTTCAGAGGTATCAAACCGTACTGAACCCTAAAACTGAATAAAGTTATAAACCTGGAAGTTTTAAAATGCAAGTAGGTCCTTCATCTGCAGAATCTGGGATGTAAAAAAGTGATGGTTTGCTTTTGAAATTACAGACAGGTTTTCAGATGCAGCTGAGGGAGAAAGAAAAGATGAAGGAAAGATTTGCATCAAACCAAAACCAATCAAACAAGTTTAATATTATTGGACTGGTTAAATAAAAACGAAAAAATCAACAACAAAAACATCAACGACGTTCCCTTGCATTGTAGGTTTGCATTTTTGCTCAACATGAGCACTTCTGTTATCGGACGATTAACCAACAAGTAAGCTAATGTTCTCAGACCTAAGCTTGAATACGCTAACCCAGCTAGGACCCAAGGCTACTCCACTACCCAGATTCTTATGATGCAAATTCAAAAAAATGCACCACAGGAATGTACTACTGTTTTTGTTTTCTTTTGTTTATCGTGTGTTTGTTGTGTTACAATTAGGCTACAACTGATTTTCGTTGTGCATCCCTGTGTTGCATCGTGGCAATAAATGATCGT